TCATTAATATGCACAATTATGCAAATCAGCACACAATTAAGCTGCTTCTCTCCAGAGATGCTTGCGAGCTTTAAGGGGGAGACTGTTTTCGGGAAATTTCTGCACCGTCGATCTTTAAAATTCTTCCGTTCTGCGTCTTTCCAGCCTTTGTGCTTTCAGTCGCTGGGACATTTGTGGTTTCGAAACCTTTGAGGTTTGCTTGACATGTCAAATCACACATCAGCTGGTAAAGATGGCAGAGACGCAAAACAAAACGCAGTTTCGACCATCGAGCTTCAGTCGGGTCGTTACCTGACCTGATAGTGCTGATAATGCAGACACAGAATATGAGAACGATTTAACAAACAAAATCTGTTGTGTCTGAACAACCTTGTGTGAAAGAGGCTTAAGAAGCTCGTCTCGTCAACCTGAAATCAGCCTAAGTATACAGGGCTTCGTTAATACCTATTAGTTTACTAGTCGTGCATGCACACGACTGAAGTCAATTTTTAGTTTTGCACAAACATTTAATTTTCTGTGGCATGTTTTCAAATATAAATTGGTTATTTGTCTTTTCTGCAGTGCATTCATGTTGTTTGTTGTATATGCTATACTTTATTGGAGATCAAGTAGATGCATTTTAAAAATACACTACCGTTTTTTTTAAGGAATAAGGAAATTATTACATTTATTCATCAAGGCTGCATTAAATTTATCAGAAGTGACAGTAAATACATTTATGTGGCAAAAGATTTCTATTTCAAATAAATGCTGTTCTTTTGAACTTTCTTTTCATCAAAGAATCCTGAAAAATAAAATGCATCACAGTTTGCACAAAAACATGAACGGTTTTCAACATTGATAATAATCAGAAATGTTTCTTGAGCAGCAAATCAGCATATCAGAATGATTTCTGAAGATCACGTGACACTGAAGACTGGAGTGATGATGGTGAAAATACAGCTGCGCATCACAGAAATAAATTACATTTTACAATATATTCACATAGAAAACAGATGTTTTAAATGGTAATAATATTTTAGAATTTTACTGTATTTCTGAACAAACAAATGCAGCCTTGGGGAGCAGAAGAGACTCAAAAACTTTACAATTCTTGTTTTGAATGTCAAATTCATAATCATTTGTTATCAGCCAACATTTCTAAATCGGCGCATATGTAGTTCTAAGTATTGATAATGTTTGCTTGTTTTTCAGGTTTAGATGAAAGAAGTGGCTCCGGCTCTTGGGCTTCAGGAGAAGCGAACGGTCCCGCATTCAGCGCACGGGTACGAAAACACACACATGTGCACTCACTCTGTCATAATCGCACGCAGACTCTGATGAAATGCAGAAATTAGTGAAGCTGGGCCTGTGAGTGAGGACAGAGCGTCTCTGGTGGTGCTTTGCTTTTCCCATCAGACCTTAATCCCTAAAGGAAACAAACCTGACTGCAGCAGATATCTAGTCCACTTCAGGATGTCTCGATGGTTTGTTTAAAGCAGAGCGGCGTGTAGCTGTAGACGGGAAGTTCAGCAGACGCGTGCTTGTAGGTCAGTCGGTCAGTGGCTGAGATTAGCCGGCCGTTGTTAGCGATGCTCATGTTTACCTGCCCCGTCTAGTGCTAATCTCTCACCTGTCAGACTTCATGAATGTTAGACGCATCACGTGTGTGAATGATGTGTCCTATTCTCTCCATGACCTATTTTGCTCATAAACAAGCAGGCTGTAATTTAAGTCAAGGTGCCAACATTTGTCATGACAATTTGTGGCCCTGGACCACAAAACCTTAAAAAAAAGTCTTTTTTGGCTATTGCTACAAATATACCCCAGTGACTTGAGACTGCTTTTGTGCTGCAGGGTCACATTTCTCTTTGAACTTATAATATAAAATTTATATATATAATATAATATAATATTAAACATTTTTTTCACTTATTTTTTCATAGTTGTGACTTTATATTCCACAAAATCAAAAAAAAAAAAAATATATATATATATATATATAAACATTAAACATTTAAAAATACATAATTGTAAGTGTGTTTTAAGAATACACTTTTAAAGGGCACCTATTATGCAAAATTAATTTTTACATGTTGTTTGAACTGAAATGTGTGTTGGCAGTGTGTATACAACCACCTTATAATGATAAAAATCCATGCGCTCCTTTTTTTTTTAAATCTCTATAAATCATGAGCAGTGTCTCAGAGCTTACTGATCACATAATCCGTAAAGTGTGACATCACAATTTACAAGCCCCGCCCACGAGTGTTGATTGACACAGCCGTGTTAGCCGTGACCCCGCCCTGAGTGAGCCGCACACAATCCTCTGTTTATCTTCACGCCAGAGCATTTACAATGTCTTAATACATTACACTTAATACACAGATCTAATATAAACATGCGATATCTTTCCCAGCTGTTTACCTTCACAGACATAACCGACTGTGTTTTTGTAACTTATGCGTGTTTTTAACATAAACTCGTGTGTGAAAGAGAACTTTAGTACTCGCATGCTGTGTGCAGCCACTTTCTATTCGCGTGCTACGGATGTGAGCGCCCAGAAAACCGTCTATCGGAAGTTTAAACTAATGTGGCTTTAAAACACGTGATTTCAGTGCGATATACAGTACATGATAATCAAAACCAAACAGATGTTTTTTGGCAGAGATCTGAGATACGAGCTAAAATTGCACAGCCCTGTTCTGGAAAAAGGTAATTTAAATGTACATAAAACTATATTATAAATTGAATTAAAATAATTGTACTTCCAGTAAATGTTGTGAGTGGACTGAAGAGGAATGTTTAAGTTCAGAATATGTTAACTTTCTTTAATGTTGATATTTCGTGATGTGATTACTAAGATTTGCGTTCTCAGTGCTGCTGACCATGACTTTTGTAATGTATTATTGTGTGTTTTTGTGTGTTAGCTGTATGGAGACGGTCCTCACTACCCTGAACACGACGGCATGTACAACTTAGAGATTGACGGTGAGTTAACGCACAGCTTGGAGTTCAGAGCATTTACCAGCAGAATTTCACATCAGTTTTGATACCAGCTTCTTTAATGTAGGCTATTAGGAGGTGGGTTTTTATAATCATAGATCATATTTTCATAGATGAGGTGTGGCTTCTTTGTCGTTGTTTGTTAGTGATACACTACATTTCCGCTGCAGATCATCAGCGTCTGAAGTTTAGTCACACATGAGCACACAAACCCGTGCATTGCCTGCTGTCCTGAGCAGGTTTAGGTCACGCTGGGATTTGGAGGGTGGTTAATCCACGCGCATAACCGGCCCACTCTGGGCTTTACAGCCAGGTGGGGGTTGCTTTTGAACTAATTACCACTTAGGCATTTATAATGGGGCGATTTGTTGTTTGTGCCCAGTCTTAAGGCCATAAATGCTGCACCTCAGCCAGTCGAGGTCACACGCAGACAGATGGAGTCCAGCAACCCTCGGCCCAACATTATCAGTCAATGAATAAATCACAAACCACACCCCCCTCCAACCCAACACGCTCGTTCATATTTAATGCAGTGTTAGTTTACTAGTACCTCAGTTATACTGCTATATAAGTATGTGACCCTGGAGCACAAAAGCAGTCTTAAGTCGCTGGGGTATATTTGTAGCAATAGCCAACAATACATTGTATGGGTCAAAATTATAGATTTTTCTTTTATGCCAAAAATCATTAGGATATTAAGTAAAGATCATGTTCCATGAAGATATTTTGTAAATGTCCTACCGTAAATATATCAAAACTTAATTTTTGATTAGTAATATGCATTGCTAAGAACTTCATTTGAACAACTTTAAAGATGATTTTCTCAATATTTAGATATTTTTGCACCCTCAGATTCCAGATTTTCAGATAGTTGCATCTCGGCCAAATATTGTCCTATCATAACAAACCATACATCAATGGAAAGCTCATTTATTCAGCTTTCACATGATGTATAAAGCTCAATTTCGAAAAATTGACTGATTATGACTGATTTTGTGGTCCAGGGTCACATATATTAAAACAACATATTAACAAATATTCAAAAAAATTAAATATATTAAATTAATATAAATAAAATTGTGTGTGTGTGTGCATACATATATATATATATATATATATATATATATTTTTTTTTTTTTTAGTATCGTTGAAATAGTAATATAGTTTTGTTAATATTTATTTTATTAATATTTTTAATTTTAGGTGAAGTTTTGGCACTTTTTTGTGTGTTTTTGTCTTTTTTATTTTATTATTATTTATATTTTTTACACGTCTATATAGTTTTTATTTTTATCAGTTATCATTTGTATGTAATTTTGGTTTTAATTATTTTAGTACTTCAGGTTAAACTAAACGAAATATGAGAATGATGCCTTGGCACCTAATTTTTTTGTATTTTTTAATGTATTTTTTTAATGGTTTTAATTTTATTTAATTGTAATGACCCTGATGTGTGTTTATTTATTTATTAATTCATTTATGTATATTAGTGTATATATATATTTTTTTTCAAAATTAATTGAATTAAAATAATAAATTAATTCCAGTAAATCCTGTGGCTGGACTGGAGAAAATTTAATGCATTAATTTGTTGTGATGCTACTTTAGATTTATAGCTCTGTTACTGTATTTAAAGGCAAACTAGACTAACTTTATTCAGTCATTTGCAGATGTATAAAATCTATTCCTACCTATTCTCATCAAAAAAATCATGTTTTGCTCAAATTTTGAGCCACATTACGGAAGTTTAATGGGTTGCAAATGCAAAAGTTGACATGTTCGGTGCATTTCCAGATTTCTCAGCAGCACAAAAATGTAAACAACAGCAGAAATTCACTTCAGATTCTCTGTAGGCCTGGCCATTGGTAATGTAAGTGTAATACTTGAACTGTTTGGCTCAATGTAAGAGTTTCTGGTGTCTTTTGCAGGGAAATCTGAAAGAGGATACCCCGTTGCTCAGGTAATGAACTGTTTTTAAGTAGTTGAGCAGTTCTGGGTTTTAGTCGGTCTTCACTGAACTCTGTTATTTGTGTTTAGCCGCAGCTCTTGCCCGCTGATATTAGCGATGGTCTTTCTCCTCCGGGAATGAAAGTCTCTTCTCAGTTCTACAGTCTTCACCGCCGGAGGCTCGCCGACTCCAGCATAGGTGAGAGGAGCTTGTCAGCCTCAGGGCTTTGGGCTTGACTTATACCTGCTTGTGATTTGTCAGTTGCTAGCAATATTTGTATAATGACCACTAAACTGTATAATTGTATAAAACAGATTTCCTAGCTCATTGATGTGCAATGATGTACAGGCTTCTGCAAAATAAACCCTTGTTTTTCTGTTTTTCGTATATTGACATAAAAAAGAATACAGGATTTTATTCACCTGATGACTTGAATAGCTGTTTGTGTAATGAATAAATCATTTTGGAGTGAGCGAAATAATTTTGTGGTAAATGCATCTGCATAGGAATGAAAAATATTTTTTAAAAAAGGCAGAAATAAAGACTTTTTTGATTGTGAAATCATTTTAGGACTGATCGACTTGAGGATTTTTATTTTTTTATTTTTTTACCAATTCAGTATGACACTTTTTTTTTTTTTAGAATAAATTCTATTTTCTGTTTTCCATTTCATTTGTTTTTTTGTTTTTTTTTGTAATTCTGTTGTGTTTGTCGTTTTTGTGTTTTTAGTTTTGTTTTATTTATTAGTTTGTTTAATTTTAGTTTTTTTTGTACTTTAAATGAAAATGAAAAATATAGCTAAAATAAGTTTAAGTGTATAAGTACATTTTATTTAAATGATTTTAATATTTTAATAATTATTGTCTGTTTTCACTTTAATTTGGAAGTTTTTGTAGTTGTGCATTTAATACTTACACTAAATTAAAATGAAAAATGTTGCTGAAGTAAAATAAGTTTATAATATTTTAAATTATATTTTTAACATCATATTTTTAATTACCATTTTATTTTAATTGCTAATTAGAATGCATTTTAAATAAAATGGGAAATATGTTAAAATTTGTACTGTAAAATGGAAAAATTCTGCATAAAAATTACAATACTAATATTTTCAAATGGTATACCATTGAGCTTTTATTTCGATGGTTTATTAAAATTATGTTTGTTTTTAGAGTGAAACTCGGAGCTCTTTCAGCATTTCGAATTATTTGATTTAGGGAAAATTTATGTATCATGAGCTAAAACGTGTACTGTTTCTCTCTCTAGAACTTATATTTAATTATTAAATGGCAGGCGGTGCACTAAGCCTTATCGCAATATATGATTATTTCTCAATGCAACGTGCAGCTCTAGTGATCAGCATTGTGTGTTGTATCGTTTCAAGGGTTTATTTTGTGCTATTTCCCCTCATGCATGATGGTTTTGTGGGCTCATGCAGTGATGGCACAGAGTGTGGTTTTTGAAAAGCATGAGGTGTCTTCGTTTGCATCACGTCGACGATCACCTTAAGTGAAAATCAGCTTTGTGGTCTGGATGGCTTGCTAATAATGCTTTCGTTTCAGATCCACTGCCCAAGAAGATCCGGAAGGTTCCTTCTGGCCTGCCGTCGTCTGTGTCTTCGGTGAGTGTTGATGTGCCCTCATTAGTGTCTTGAGTCCAGATTATCATGCCACGTGCCGTCAGTCAGACCCAAAACACACACGCACACACTTCCTGTAGGGCTCATGTCACATACTACATGCATACTGTGAACTACCTGTAGCGTGCATATATTCTCTTTGCATTTTATGGGAGCGTTTGCTTTGTTTGCAACCGTGCATTCATGCTCACATGCGCATGCAGTCAAAACACCCTCCCTTGCAAATCTCTGCATGGACAAAGCGCTCTACTAATACCCACGAGGCCTTGGAGAGCTGTCGTGGGCAATGGTGCATGTTCTACTTCCTGTGTCTTTTCCTGTTTGAAGCAGGGCTGCTGAAATCGAACCCATTCATTCCTCCTCATTTCAATGCAGAGCAAAATGTAAGACGATAAATACGATTTACTGCATTACTCTTAATGAGAACCAACTTAAACCACTTCCAGTAACCAGAAAGTGAGTTTATAATACTTGAGTCTTTATAGGCCACATTCCCACTGTTTTTGATCAATGCAATATGATTTAAAATAAAATAATTATTAAATATAATATAATTATACAGAGAAAGAAAACCATTCAGTGTGAGGGTGAGTACATGGCGATTTAGCTTTAAATGTCTGAATTTCGAGTTTTCTAATAATTTGTGAGTGAGTTCAGTGAATATTGTCAAAATATTCATAAATATTGCTATGTGTTACTGAAAATAAGTCGTGGTGGGTCAAAACTGCATTGTTGAGGAAAAAGCATAAGTCACATTTTATCATTACAATGTCACACTTATCTTAAACATGCTGCGACTTTTATTTCTAAAGTTAATTCTATAATGCGTTTAATATCAAGTACGTAAAACGTGCAAAATGCACATTTTGATTTGATCCACACACTTGTAGTTTTAGTTTCGCTTTAAATAAATTAGTTATTGCTTGTTTTTTTTTTATTATTATTATTATTATTTTATTTTATTTTTTATAAAAAATATTACCATAATTAGTTTGTTTTCTATATTTATGTTTTTCATCTTGTTCTGAATAATGTTTAATTTAAAGTATTCGTTCCGGAGCGAGAGAAACTAAAATACATGTTTATAGTGTTTATAATAACATTTCATTTGCTGATATTTTACATTTTTGTTATAATAAAATGTGACTGTTTTGTTTTGTTTGCAAAAGTTATTTTCTGTAAAATACAGTAATTATATGAGATGTGCATGCAATAGATATTATATGACTGTTTGACACAATATTTAATTTATTCCTGAAATATTTGAAAACAGCAAATGTACACTGAAATGTAGACATTTTAAAGCAAAATTGTCGTACTTATTTTAGTATCACTGAGATATTATAGTTTAGTTAATATTTTAAATCTTTTATATTGTTTTCATTTTAATTTTAGTTACATATTTAGTAATTTTGTTTGTTTTTAGTAGTTTATGTAGTAGTATATATATTATTTATTTATAGTTTTAGGTATTTTAGTGCATCAAGCTAATGTATTTTGTTTTATATTTTTTATATTTAATATTTAATAAAATCATCCCGGTGAGCAGAAGCTGTCAAGACGTTTATGTTTTCACAGACTAATATTTTGGGTGTGTTAAGCCAAGAGTAACTTGGAAATTATGCAGAATATCTTCGTTTATGTTCCGTGGAAGAAAGAAAGACGTTTGGGTTTGGAACGACATGATGGTGAATAAATGAGGAGAGAATTTTCTTTTTGAGTGAACTATCGCTTTAATCTGTCCGATCATCTCAAATACCCAAATTATGCTTATATAATATATACATACACACACAAAGAAGAAAAGGGGAGTTCAAGCATCAAACAATAAAAGTTTAATACAGCTTTAAGTTTTGTTTTCCCCCCATACATTACAAAATCTGAGCAAAAAATAATGACTGTCATACATTTTTACCATGATTTGCAGACGACACCCACTAAAATGTCATTCACTTTAACAATAGTTCATAATCCAAAAAAATCTATATATTAATGGACATTTTTCAAAAGGTTTCTCCTGGAATTATTTTAGTTCAAACTCATCCATGCCAAATTGTTCATTCTTGAAGTAAACTTTTGGTGATTAAATAAACTGTTTTAGACTGCTGCTCGAGTTGAACGCGACGCGTCCGGAGTGTGTGTGATACCGGTGAGTTCTCCTAGTCTCAGCGCTGCGCTTTTATTTTGATTAGATAATCATCAAGTGTTCAAGAATACAAGCAGTTAAAGTGTGAGAGTATACATACAATTTCCATATGTATATCATTTTAATGCTATAGCCTTTGTGTATATATTTAAAGATGTGCATCTTTAAGCATGACAGTTGAAATGAAATGGTAACACTTTAAAATAAGAGTCCATTTGTAGCATTAAGATTAATGAAAGCTGTGCAAGTATTGTTCCTTGTTAGTGTGTTAATTTCAACATTTACTATTACTATTATTATTATTTTTTTACTACTACTACTACTAGTATGGTTCAGTACTGTTTTTGTTAATAAAGCACTATTTTAGTTTTTGTTCAGTATCAATTTTAAAACTATCGGTTAATTAATCGGTATCGGCCAGTGTGGTCCAACCTAGCTATCGGTATCGGCAAAATCCACTATCGGTCGACCTCTACTTAAGACATTATTAAGGTTTTGTGGTCCAGGGTCACAAATATGTTACGCTGAATGACTGTGGAACATTATTTCACCCATATTTTAAATTTTTTCACAAAAGTTATTTGAAACATTGACGTAGACACTTGCATTTAATATGCATCCTATGTATATAAAATCACTTTTGTGAATTGAATTTGATGCGAAGGTCTTTGACCCATCTCATATAACCTCAGTGTTTACCTGTTTAAACTGTACAGCAGTTCTCTGTTCTTAACATTGGTCTTATTGTCTCTATGGCTCTCTAATAGTGCCTCTATTTATACTGTCCCTGCCCTCATCTATTTCTCTTTGCTTTCATTTTTCCTGCTCGTTCTCTCCAGCTGTCTGTGGTGTTGGCTGCTCTCCAGGAACTGCCAGATGGCTCTGTAATTGGGAATGCATCTCTCTCTCTCTCTCTCTCTCCGTTCTCTCTTTATTTCTTTCTTGTGTTCATGCATCTCCTTCGTTCTCTCGTCTTCTATTTCGTACTGTTTATTTACGCACATTTCACATGGTTCTTTTCTTTGGATTTCTCCATCATTGACATCAGATCGCTGGAGCGTCGCTTGTTTTTTGACCCCTTCGTTGTGTTTAATTGGCTTGTAATTTGGTCGCATGTTCATTATATTAACACCCTTTCATGGCTAGACAGGCGTGCATTGTTGTTTCTTTTGTTTTAGCGAATAACAAAGTATACAGTGTTTTCACGTCATGCCTTTGTGTGTGAAAACTAAAAATGTTCAGAAAAAATCTCAATGGTGGATCACCTGAACAACTAGTCGTATGAAAGGGGTCATATGATGCGATTTCAATTTTTCCTTTCTCTTTGGAGCGTTACAAGCTGATTGTGCATAGATAAGATCCCTGAAGTTGCAAAGACTAAAGTCTCAAAACCAAAGAGATATTCTAAATAAATAAAATAAAAGTGATAACATTATTTATTTATTTATATGTATATGTCATTTTCTAAAAAAAATAAAAGGTAACTTTTTATAATTTTATTAAAAAAATATATATTGCTACATGTATTTTGTATATATGACAACAGAAATGGTGACTAAACAACACGGGTAACTAAAGCTATATAAAAATTAATATTTGAATAAAATGGTAGCTTTAAATATCATACAGACAAAGATATTTAATAAAATTGTGAAGTACAGCTTCTTGACTGGAAAAATATTTAAATATATACATATTTATAATTAGTTTTAGTTATTTTTTATTATATATAAAACATATATTTTTAAGTATATAGTATATATTAAAATATGTAAATGGCTAAATTTATGGAAACTCGTCATTGAAATGTGAAAGTTATTTTGGGCACTGCTCGCGGTTCCTCCTGTCTGCTGTATGTTGTGGTCGTCGGTGTGTTATTTTGGACTTTCCCTTGAGTCATGGTTCATTTTCTGATGAATGTTTCCTAATTTATTGCACATGCACACATACTGCGGCTAAAGCAGAACCACGTCTTCTGGACGATCACATGACTTTGGTGGGCTCTGCATCACATTCCCGTGACCTGAATCCCAGCTTTGGTTTCTTCTGTCTGGCAGGTTTATCCCGGTTCCACCGGAGAGGACTATAACCCTGACGGCTCCGGATACCCCGGATCCAAAGCTGCAAACCTTTATCCAGGCTCTTTCTGGCCAGGTATGTGCACAGAAGATGGTGATGGCTGGTTTCTGTCTGATTTGTTGGTGATATTAGTAATATGTGACCCTGGATCACAAAACCAGTCATAAGGGTCAATTTTTAGAAATTAGGTGTTTATTAATATCTTAATATATTATTATATCTTATGTTAACCATTTGCACACACGAGCATTATCGGGCTCCGCTCCTCCCGACCGTTTACAAGACACTTTTTCCTGCGTTTTTCAGTCAATTTCTTGACTTTTCCCCACTTATGAACAACACATTTTCGTACACGATAAAAGCTCCTTGTGGTTTCTCGGTTTGGCCGATTGGAGCATCCATAAACACAAAACACAGGCATTTTGAGTTTCTGCTAGTGATCGTCATGTGCAAACCTATTGCATCACCTAAAATAATTTGTGACATTTTGCATTTAAAAGTATTTTTCTGCCTTTTTTAAACTGCATTGCAGCACATATTTTGTATAAAAAGTTCATATTTATAATCTGTCCTTTTGTTAATTTAATGGAATTTTTTTAATTAATTAATTTTTCACCCTATTTTAGAAGTAGACATTTAAAATAGTCTTTGCAATCATGCATATTTGGTACATATTGTGTGTTTCAATTCATGTTAGAGCAAATACATAAATATTTTTATATCCAATATAAAAAAAGCTGTGACAAAACAACAGGAGCCAAGAATGCTGCACTGGTCTCTTCACGTAATCAACGGTGCTCTTTGGATATTTAGAGGTAAATATCAACCTGAGAAGATTAAATACTCCAAGGCACTCGTGTAGTAAAAATAAAAATCCTTTAATTAGCTGGGCTAAATCATTAAAACAGTTAAAAGTGTAGATCTACGCGTTTCGGCTTCACAGACTTCTTCAGGATACACACCAATTGTTCAAAGAAGTGCTCTTAAACAATTAGCAAGCAATCAAAGACATCTGCTTAATCAGTGGGAGTGGCTAGAGCTTTCCTCGTTGTGCAAAACATAACGATATTCAAAAAGAGAGGAAAAAAACAAACAATCATTTATTAAAAAAGCTGTAATTAATAAAAAACATTCATTTTGTGGTCAAATATTTGTGCATTGTGATGATATATTCATCTTTCATAACACTGTGCTCTCTCTTATATAAAATAGTTTAAACTCAGTATTTCATGTCTGTTTCATGATAAGTGGCCGTGTAATAAGCAGAGTAATGTAGCATCAGCGTCTGCTGCTTTTGCAGTAATTCTACAGTTAATCTTCCGGGCGGTTTCTTTGGATCACATGTTTTTGGTGTTGTTTTGGTTTCCCAGATGGACTTCCGGATCATTGGGGACAGTCTGGTTATCCTCCTGTCATGAGTAACTCTCCTCACATCGCTCAGCCGGCTCCGTTCCCCTCCATAAACACACAGGTGAGCCCAGCGCTCGTCCATCTGCAGCTGAAGTGCAGAACTGGATTTGGTTTCTCAAACGGAAAATCGATCAATAATCTTATTATGGATTAAAATGGAACCATTTCTAATATGTGACCCTGGACCACAAAACCAGTCATAAGGGTCATTTTGAAATCTGAAAGCTGGATAAATAATCTTTCCATTGATGTATGGTGTGTTAGGATAGGACAATTATACATAAGATACAGTAAGAACATGAACAAAGAAACAAAGTAAAACAAATATACAAATTAAATGAAATAAACAGTGCTTTAATACTTCCATGAAGTTCTACTAACATTACTGTTCAGGTAAGTAATAGCCTACAAAAGAAATCTAAAAGTAATCAAATGTAAATGAACACTGCATAGTTTTCAGTGTAT